CTGTCATTGCATTACAATAGACAGTTAAGTCCTCACATCCTTGAAAACTCCTGGTCTGAGGCCAGTAAATCAGTAGAAAGTCTCTCATTTACTTCAACAAGGGTTGGATCAAACCTAAAAAGACACGCTCTATCCCCTACCAGTTCCATCCCATTTTTCTTTCACACATCAAAGTAGAGTCCCATCTGGTTTCCCAACCAGCTGTAGAAAAGCCTGTGCTAAGACCAACAGCAACACAGCCACCACCATAATTTAGTTCTTGGTATCAAGCATCATTTCTTCTTGTGCAGGGGAGGTGACATTCCTGGTGGATCAACCACTGAACCAGATGCTGTGAGCATAGACATTCGCTTATCTTCCAAAGACCAGGATCCATATGGCTGTGGATTTGACCTAATGAAGATGATCTCTCTTTCTCAATGTGCACATGGTGATGATAAAGCCATGGGGAGAGCAGACACAGTAACTTTTAATTCTGACAGAATTCCTCAGCTTGCATTTTTTTGCAGAAAAAGTGCAATTAAAAGCACAGCTGATGGGTAAAGGATCTTGTTACACTGAGCAGGGAACATTTTGGCAGCCCCCATGTATTGCCATTAGCTGCCCCTCAATTGCTTCCAGTATTCACTCTCCATAATCAATAAGAACGAGACGCCAGAGTGGCTTCCCTTGTGAGCAGCTGCAACACCACTGTGGGTGCTCAGCACTTCCCACTGAGCCTGAACTCAGGCCGAGCAGTGGGCTGGAGTTTGAAAGCACATCCACCTTCTTTGGTCCTCCCCTTTCAACCTGTGCATCCATCAAACTTATCATCTCCAGCAGGAACGCCCCTGCTCGGCACGTGGGAAAGCAAATGAGAGCAGCTGCTCTGCACCTGGGACTGAAATCCTGGCAGATCTCATGGGTTGCTAAATAATTTTGCATAGATCAACAGTTTTTGAACAGTGCACACTTCATTCTGTACAGCAGGTTTTTAAACTCTCATTGTACATTCATGGATCACTGCACCTTTTCTAAGCCACAGCAATTGTCTTCATTGTTAAACCAAACTGTTAATGTCTTCCATGCTGTCCTTCCCTCTAGTTCACTGCATTTCAATGGGGGTTAAATGGTAAAAACACTCTAAAACTTCAAACACCCATTCTCATCATTACAAGCTATACCTAGTCTCGTCCCCCTCCTCCCTCCATTTCCTGCTTCTCTTCATCAGTAGAGTTAAATCTGCAGAGAAAATGAGCAGGGGCTTCTTCAATAAAACAATAGGGTATCACTGACTCTGTGGTGTTAATTGGTGCCGAGCTGCTATTGAAATGGTCTCATGTTGTCCACGTGGAGCTCTGTACATCTGTGTAAATGGTAATCCCCTCCACGAGCCTATTGCTCAGACCCTCATGGTTTTCTGGTCTCTTGAACACACAGCACTTCAGTATATTATCTGTTTTTCCGTGTTTTCCTGGGCAAAGGGGTTTCCTTTCAATCTTGCTTCTAACTCCTCGTCAGGTCATGTCAGACCTGAGTATAAATTACAGTTTGTATTTTGTACACAAGGACTGTGACTGTCTCCTGTCACATCCCTCTCATTCGGCCTCCTTACAAAGCTGAAGATGAGGTATGAGCTTTGGAAATGAACCTGCATGCAAAGATGGACCACAAGCAGGCAGTTAGTTGTCCCCTTGTCAGTTCTGTGTTCTACCTGTTGACCCAAAGGGTGTATAAACCTTTGCTGACCTGAACAACCAGTAGTTTCCCACTTACTCTTTTGGACTGGTAGCTGTTTTTGTTCTGGATTAGTCTAAAGTGAGGAGGCTGTGACAGACTGTACAGGGCAAATTGTGCTTTTTACAATTACTTGTGGGGATTGGAGCCAACCACCTGCTTCAAAGCCCGGAGAGGTTAATTGCAGCTCTCTTTCCCGTGACCTGCAATACGGGCACACATCACGGCCAGCCTGCCCTCCTGCTTGCAGACTGTCTCAAACAGCACTTTCTGGTACTGTCAGGCAGTTGACAATAGATGGTGACAGACTGTTTTAAACAGGCTTGTTCTGTGCATTTCAGATGAGAGGGTGGCATTCTGATTCTACTCACTGTGTAATGTTTGCAGGAGAGATTTAACAGCCGCTTTCCTCTTTGTTCCCTCAGAACCAGCAGCTCAAAAGAATTCTCTGTGTTAAGTCACCTGCTAATGCAGCTCTGCCCGTGTTTCCCTGCTGTGGCAGAACTTGCCCCGTGGCAAACCTGTGCATTTTCTGATGTAAACAGGGATGCCCTCCCAAACCCCAGCAGCAGGTCGTACAAGTTCCCCTTCCAGCAGCATCATGAGCCACTTCTGGCAGTCAGACTGTGGCTAGAAAAGTATGGAGGGGACTTAAAAGGAAAGAAAGTGAAGGGCAACATTTGCTGTAGGCCATTGGCCAGAGAATACAGCAGGTACTGAGTCCCCAAAGCTCAATGTGTCTTTCTCAATCTCTCTTCACTTTGGAGGAGCACCAGAGCACTGTTAGCATGAAATCACAGCTCCCATGTGAGACCTGGATGAAATCAGTGTTCTTTCCTCAGTGTGCAGCAGGTCCCAGGAGGAACAGGAGTACTGGACATTTTCTATACACGCTCAAGGTTCTCATTTCCTTCAGCTGAACCAAATTTACTTTCAAGTAAGAGCAGCTGTAAGGTTAGGGAATGGAACATGGCAGTAGTTAAATATGTGTGAGTGCAGTTGAGGCTTCCTCTTTGAGCTTTAGTCTAGCCTGCCTTATCATGGGATTCAGATGGATTCAGCTGGCTGCAGTTGTTTTTATCCTTACTTGTGCAAACTTAATTTTCCTTTAAATTATCTGGTTGGCTTGTACCTAATAGAGTAAACCCAAATTCCAGATAGACAACTGAAACAATAATGTCTGTCTTCAAGTTTTCCAGCCTGGGTTGGATTATTTTCTGGGATATTCACTTAATACACACTTAAGTGAATCAAGAGCTCTGAATGCTACACAAGACCACTGGGTGTACTATAGCATAGTTGTGTATACTGATTTGTACTTACCTCTTGGTCAGTATATAAATGACTAAACATCTCTGTCTAGACATATAATCTGTGAAATTTGTAAGCCTAGACTTATATTTTTATAGCTACAATTAATGACTATCTTTCAGTTCCCTAATTTAGCACCTTTCTTGCCTGCTGTAAAGAAGACAAGAACATTTGAAGCAGCAAGAAGAGAATCTGAAATATTAGCTGCTGTCTTGTCAGATATTAGTTATTCCCCTGATCCGGTCTTGATGTTTATCCCTCCCTCTTTGAGTTTTCTTAATTATTTCTGTCTTGTATTAATTCTCACAAAACTCCCTAGATGTAGGCTTTATGGTTTAGAATCTCAACTGCTCATTCAATTAATGGGCTTGCTTAATGTGCTTAAACTTTCCAGAGACACTTGTGACACATTACAAGGGGGGGGGGGGGAAAGATTCTGAATATGCTCCATCTCATTTGTGGTACTCCTGAGCCTGGAGCCCATTTTAAGCTCTTTATCAGATTATCTAGATTTATTATTTTTTTATATTCTTGTACTCATTAAGCATTTGCATGGAAAGAGTATTGTCTCCAGAAGAGTGACTTAATTTCTTTTGCCCTTCCCTCACCACCTGACTTAGACCCTTTGTAAAGAAGCAATTGGTTGTAGTTTCAGTACACTGAGCAGGATCTGAGAAGCTGACTTGAAAATGGCAAATGTGGAAGTGCAGCTCTTTTCTTTTACATAGGAGTATTGGATATTTTGTGAGCAAAACAAAATGGCTGCTAGAGATTTTCTGTAATTTTTCTTGGCTTAATAGCCCCCAATTCCTGTTAATATCTGAAAAAAAATTGAGGTAGGTGTGCAGAGGAAAGCCAACCTGTATTTCAGCACTGAAGTCTACGTGAGTTATCTCAGTAACTCCAGGAAACCAGAATTTAACCACTGGCTTAGCCAGGATCCCTGCGGATCTGAGTCCCAGTGCATTGTACAACATGACACAGAAACAGTCCTGACAAGAGAACAAAGTCCATTTCAGTAACACAACTACATCTCATGAGCTGTGGGTTTAAAAGATTAAAACCACAGTACAAGGATTCCATTCTAAATGATCTCCCCCCTCTCTCTCTCCCCAGCAGAATGTAAACGTGTATATGGATACAAGTTCATATTACATGTGCATGTATACACATATATATGGGCATGTTATACATGAATCTAAATGTGTGTATATAATCTGAAAGCATACACACAGTCATAAATATATTAGGAAACCCAAACTCATGGAGAAGGAGTCCTGTCTTTCCAGGGTGCAGGTTAAATGTGTTGCTTCCTCGTGTTCTTTATATAAACAGGATCTGTGCTCAGGACCTTCATTTTGTGCCAGAGGATCCCCGAAACCAAGAGGGCAGATGAGCTGTAGTATAGAACCCACATGCTCGTTTCAGCAGTGATTTCATAGAAAGACACAAAACAACTACGAAAACATTTTGTTAAAACAATTACTGAGAAGTTCTAAAAGTTAATGCTTCTGCTGCACTTCTGCTCATCAGCCATACGGGGATCTTTGTCTTTCAGCATTACAGTGCTCAAAGAAAAGGGAAAGGATTCTGGTTTATGGTTCTGAGTCAGTCTTTTTCTTACTAACATATGGCCCCATTTTTTTCCTGGTTCTTTAAGCAAGTTATAAACATAAACGTTGATGCACATGGAGTTTGATTCATGAAGAGTTTAATTTGCCTAGTATAAAAGATTCACACAGGTTATATAACATCATTAAATTATTTTTGTGGTTTGAGTAGTATTCTTTGAGGAGAGAAGAACTCTTTCCCTGGGGTCCATTTATCACTGTTTGCTCCTAATTAGAAAACTGAAAGTGCAATATGCATGACTTACATTTTCAGTGTTGTCTTTGGTCTGATGTATCACTCCTTGTGCTTCCTCAGGAACTTTTATTCATTTCCTAATTTTTTTTTTTATTATTTTTTTTAAGGTTTCTGACAGCTGTGACTCCATCTTCGTTAATGGCAAGGAAATGAAAAGCAAAGTGGATACTATTGTTAACTTCACTTATCAGCATTTTACCACCCAATTAGAAGTGACGGTCTGGGTTCCGAGGCTCCCTCTGCAGATAGAGATCTCTGATACAGAGCTCAGCCAGATCAAAGGCTGGAGAATACCTGTCACCTCCAATAAAAGGTATGCTTTACAGTATTAACTCAGTCCAGACACGTGCCCAGGGCCTCTGATTTTAGAACACAACGATTTTTAGAGTATTTCTCAGAATCTAAAATCTGTTTGCCATTAGCTTTACAGTCTTTTAGCCTTCATTAAAACATCCAGCAATGATATCAGTAGGCTGCATTTTATCCTAATCTATATAGTTTAAAAGTCCGTGGCTTTGCCTGGAGCATTAATCAATTCCACACAATCTTAGGAAATCGTATCACACACTCCGATGTGCAAAGCTGGGCAAAAGGACCTGGAACTCTCCCACTGGTATGTAACATCACCTGTGTGAGTGTGTGTGTGTGTGTGTGATGTTCAGCACTGCCAGAGCTCAAGTTTCTGTCTGTGGTGATGAATAACAGGGCCAAGGAGGGAGTCAGGTCACGGGGCTTGGACAAGATAATCACTAAAGGGCTCTTCCAACCCAAACCATTCTGTGATTCTTTGGGTAGTTATTCAGTCTCTGTGCAGATGCACTGTACACCAGACCTGTCTGAAGCATTATTTACCAGATCTAAATTAAGTAAAAAACAACTTACTCTCCTACTGAGGACCATGTTCTGATGAACGGATTCTACCAGAAAAAAGTGGACAGGGAAAAAGAAGGGAGAGGGGGGCAGGGATTTGAGTTCTGTGCCCATCATTCCCTACTGAAAACACCCACTCTAGAATAACCATCATTTGGAAAATTTGCAAGATTAAGAACTTCCAGGAACACTGCTATGTTGGTGGATTTCAGGCGAAGTTGAAAAATATTACTGAAGAGCAAGGTGTGACACCAGCTCAGATTTATAATGCAGTGAAAAAGCCTTTCTGGCAGCAGTAACTGTAGTGCTAAACACTGTGGCAGTTCTAGCTAAAGCACTCGATTGCCCAGGAGAACATCTCAGCTACTGAAGAGCCTTAAAGAGACCAAACAGACAGCAGGGGAACAGAATTGTCCAACACTTTATGTGGGCATAAAACTAAGGGCAATAGGACACAATTTGCAGGATATTCAGATAATGAGCTCCAGAGAATGGGACTGACTTACCTCTTGATATGTGGATGGTTTTTTTTGGCTATGACAGAAGAGGTGATGAAGATCTGGCACGAGAGAAGTTAGTGTGTTTGCTTCAGTGACAAAGGCAGTGTTTCCATCTGTGGCAGGCAGAGCTGTGCTAGGTGAGGAACAAACGGATGCCAACTGCTTTAAGTTTCACTGAGCTCACCTGTTTCTGCCTGTAACAGGCCTGGTGCTGCACCATTCCCTTAGGCACAGGTCCTGCTAAAATCAGTGGGGATTTTGCTGAATAAACAGCTGCAGGATTAGGCTGTTGGTGTTTATTGTGGCAGTAAACATTGAGCAGCAAGCTCGGTGAGTGAGACATTCAGCTGTGGCTGACAGTCGTGGACATTCTGAAGTTAAACCCATTACACACCGTGCTGGAAATTTACCCCCTGGTTCTGATTTATTTGGCCAGCTGAAATAAAGATAATGGTCTGAGAGTCTGCTCTGTTTGCAACCTGGCAAGCTCTGCAAAGTTTTGATGCAAAGAATTTGCTGCTGCTTGGATTGCATCTGAACTGCTGGCACATCTTCTGCAGGCATTTTCCACGGAGGGTGGGAGGGAAATCATGGACACCATGTCATTCCCCAGAACTGCAGCTGGTAGGTCATGGCATCGTGTGTGAGCAGTCCACACCCATGTGAACAGGAAAGGTTTCAACTGGAAATAAATTATCTCTTGTTTTATTGACCATTCATGTGGGGATTTTTTTAACTTTGCAGGGTATTCTAAATCAATAGTCAGTCTAGGACTAGCATTAGTTGTGCTCAGTCTGACATTTACTTTGTATATAAGGTTTTTACATTTCCTTTATTTTTAGATTTGGATGGCTTTTTACCTGAGATTTAGTGGCTTTTCATTTTGGTTCTTTTTTATTATTACTATTTCCGTCTTTATTTTTTAATCTGCTTATACCACCATCTCCTACATGTTTCCCAATATCCTAAATATGGGGGAGGTTTTGATGAGCTTTTAAGTGGTGACCTGAAGCACGCAAGACATTTGGACTACAGTCAGGAGCTGCAGTTGTTTTTCTGAACCCCCATTCAGGGACACAGCCAGAAGATCACATTCGCTTATTCTCAGCAATGGTGCAGTCTGGAATTCTTCACAGTGCCTGTCTGGTCTGCCTAATACAGTGTTAGTGCTGCAAAGATGATGCCTTATGTGATACCTGAGTAGGTTTCACAGAGAGCAAGCAGAGTGCTTTTGTCTTTGGAAAAAAACCCAAATCCAAGCATTTCCCAGCAGGTAGAAGCCATAGCATCATGTTGCTCCAAACTTCTTTCTCATGTCAGAGCCAGTATTTGCTATTTGCATGAGGTTTTGGATATCTGTCCTTGAAGGAAACCCACTGATTCTTTCAAAAGACCCTGCCAACAGGCTTAGGCAATTTTAAACTTAGGTTCAGTCACGCAGAGCCCAAAGGTCAACTGAAACCCTATCAGCATCCTCAGGTCTGGTCACTGAAGGATTGCAGGGTGGCTTCTTTGTTCCTCAACTTACACAGGAAAAACTATCTTCTGTTCTCCTGTTCACTAGGGTTGGTGTCCTCATTGTCCTCTCAGCAAGAACTAAACATTGCTATAGAGTCCTTCATCAATATATAGAGGTAAAATTTGGGAGCATCTCTTTTAGGGATTGTGCAGAGGCACTTCAGCAACCTCCAAACTTCCCTTTATCTCCTCTGGCTCCCCAAGGCCTCTTTCCAACACACACAGTGTGGCTGTGCTGGTTCAGCTGTCTGAGGGGCTGAGCCAGATGGCAAAATAGAACTGGGTTTACAATAATCTTTTAAACGCTTTTATTGGTGCTGTTGACAAAAGAAACGCTTGTGAAACTCCTGCCTCAGCATGGCTGTTCTTCATCTGAATATAGCTGCTTCTGTCTCAGACCTGAGAAAGTGTTTATATGCCCCAAATCACATCTGTTCTTTCCAGTCATGTTTGTTGATCCAATAAAATGTATTGTTTCTCTCTATAAACCCTGTCATGTTTGTAATTGTAAAATACCTGTGATTAAAGACATGTTTGCTTATCTAACTTCTTGAATAACTTCCACAAAGCAATGAATAAGACAGGGTCTTCACAAAAATTTTACAAGTGCCTCATGCACAGTTCAGTTCGAACTGTGTTGGTTTTCAGCTGGTCTGAACTGATGTAACAGCAGAAACTTGCTAGAGAAAGTTGGAAAGAGGCTGTTTTAATGCCAGAAACTGGAAAAAACCGCTCGTCTCCCCCATGTAAGAGCAGTAATACAATTTATCGGATCAGTCTGAAAATATATGGCAAATCTTTATTATTATCAAGAGGAGAACTTGATCTGTGGTGAGTGCTACTGCAGATATGAAGAGCCTCCCTTGACAGATGAAAGTTGGCTCCATGGATCATCTCATGACTAATGCATGGTGCTCGAACCAGCACGGGCTGACAGAACTACTGCAGTGGGCTGCAAAAACCCACAGTCTCAGCAAACAATAGGTGTATATTTAAATTAAAGTCAAATATTAGAGTGTAGAAGAGGTCCAGGCAGACTCTGCTAGTCTAACAAGAACATTTATTTTGATTCCTCGTGCATCTGCAAAATAATTACCTTCGTCTTGAAGTTCCTGTACCAGCTCCGTGCACACATATTTACATGGGATGAGTGGCTCCAGCTTGCATTAATAGGAATTGCATGGCTAAAGTCTCCCAGAACAAGCTGGAAATTTAATTTCAGAAAATATTTGCAACTGGGATAGCACATTGTTTTTGGGAGGGCCCCAGGGAGGCCGATATCACACGGTGTGACTTCAGATGTGCTTCACTATCAGGCACAGAGTTCACTGGGCTGTGACCAGCTCTTCTTTGGGTCTGTTTGGTACTCAGGACAAAAGCAAGAAAGTTTGCCTGAGTTAAAAGCAGGATAAGATGAACTGCTTTAGTTAAACCCCTGTTGAGTGCTGCCCCTCAGAAGAAAAGCCAAACTCTAAGGTGAATTAAGTGAAAATGGATCCAAACCATTCCGTTTGTGAGTAACAGCATTGGCACAAAGCTTTGAACGCTGTAAATTCACTCCTTTAGTTAATTGACTTTAATGTCCTATGGAGATAAGGCCTCAGAGATTTTTGTTAATAGGTAGGCTGTACTTTCAAGATCTGTAAAAATACCAAATTGCATTTCTTCTTGAACTGTGAGTGGAGTTATGTGCAGCTTATTTCTGTAGCTGCCACTAAATCAACTTCTAGTGGTTTGCATTTTGTGTCCTAAAGAGATTTTTTTTTTCATTTAGGGGTGTTGCAAATGTTTTTTAAATACATGACTCTTTTTAACGAGTATTTCAAATTAAAAACCAGCAAAACTGATTTCTTTAGTTGTTTTTTGTTTGTTTGTTTGTTTTTTAACAGAAAATTAGCATCTGGTCTAAGAATGTGATGCCTGGTTCAAGAGTGGTGCAGATTAAGAGAGACATACTTAAACTGCTCACAGACAGTGTCTATAATGTCGAGTTGACAGATCAGTGATTAGATCAGTGCTACCAGGCACCCTTGTAACAGGGCTGCTGGTTTAACTCAGCTCTCTGGCAAAGCCTTTCTCTGTGTGAAACGTAAATTAAATATAATTCTGGCAACCTTGTTTCACTCCAGAAAAGCCAAAAATTTTCCAAGCAAGTTTGCCAAGCAGCAAGAAATAGGGTAAGAAGGATTCTGAGAGATATTCCTAATGCTGGAAACTATTGTTTTACACACACAAAACCAAATAGGCTGTTCCAAAGACCATTTACTTGAGGCTGAATATATCTACTCAGCTAAAAAGTGACGCATTGAAAATGCATTCCCAGTGTATTAGATTCTGTAATACTGGTACTTTCTGTCATTTTTGAAGAACACAAGGGCTTTTCCTTGATACGTTTTCAGTTTACTGTTTGTCAGCTTTGTCACAAAACAATTTATAACAAAAGCAATTCTCTTTTATAATAGTTTTTCATAGCTGTTATTTCAAAGGAGAAGATAAAGGAACACAGTAAACACAAAACTACCTCCCCAAATACTTTGAAAAATAAGAGGCTTTTACCCTGTATTTCCCACCCTTGCTGTAGAGGTGGCTTCAGGCTCAATAGGTAAAGGAGAAAGGAAAATTATTTCTAAGCATGAATCTGCAGCTTGGGGGCATAATGAGTAAAGGTGTGACCACCTACTGCTTAACACCTGACTTGGGAGAGATAAGAGAATTTATACATTTGTCCCAAGAATGAACAATAGCAAAAAAAAAAAAAAGGATGGTAAACTGGGTCTTAAAGCAGACAAAATTCTGTGGAAAGCTGTTATATTGTCACAGGTTATATTTTGTAAGGGGGACAGATAGAAAATGTTAAAAGAAGTGTGTCTAATGCTGCAGTTGTTTCTGTGGGGTGAGTGCTGGTCTCAGCCACTCTGGCACGATGTTATCTGAGTAAACAATGTCCTGAGAGGGAACCCAAGTGCCCAGTTTGGTTTTCTGGAAGCCTCATGTGGTCATTACATTACTAAATATAACAGACATTTGCATGAACTCATTTGTATGAGATTTAAGGTAAAATCATAGTATATTTCTCAAATGCAGAGGGTTTAATGACCCTGTAAGATGGAGATGTGGGCTGAGGTGGGGTGGCATTGCCTCAGAAGGGAACCCCAGAGGTGTTACAGGAGATTTGGAGAGATGGGCAGACATATTTTCAAATTGCTGGGAAGTTCCACTCAAAAAAAAAAAATACTAGAAGAAGTGACAGTAGCTTTTAAATTGTACAGCACAAAAAAAAGCTGTACGAGCATCTCACCAAGATTTAGTAACCGGCACATCCAAAACCTGGTTTCCTGTTTCCCACACAGCAGCAGATGATGGCATTAATCTAACTGAAAACAGGCTGCAGCTGAAGCTCTGCAGTGCTGTGGGGAGATCATGGCAATGCAGGTAATGACCGTGGATCTATTTGCAGGCCCACCCGTGACAGTGAGGAAGACGACGACGATGAGAAGAAAGGCAAAGGTTGTACCCTGCAGTATCAACACGCCATGGTGCGAGTCCTGACGCAGTTTGTAGCTGAGTCCTCGGAGTTTGGAGGCCACCTGACCTACATGCTGGGCTCTGAGTGGCAGTTTGACATCACTGACCTTGTGGCTGATTTCATGAAGGTGGAAGAGCCCAAGATTGCTAAACTTCAAGACGGTCGAGTTCTGGTTGGTCGTGAGCAAGGCATCACCACGGTCCAGGTACAGCCTGAGGTGTATCTGCAGCTTCTGTATTGAGACTTCTGGGGGCTCACTCACAATGACTGCTTAGCTTATAAAAGCAATGGATCTCAGGGAAAAAAAAAAAAAAAGCTGAAAAAAATGGACATGCTAAACATAAAAGGAAGTTTGAATGGGTTTTCATTGTGATTATTTGTCCATAAAATACCTTTAGGTGAAGCTTTTGAAGAGACTTATCCATATTAGTGTGACTGTCAACACAGTGAGATTTTCTGACCAGAGAAACGGGTTATATGATGCACACAGCTACCTGCTTTTAACTTAAATGGGGCCATGAAAACATAACTGTTAGGAAATTGTGCCAAATACCGACATGCATCTTTATATACTTTGAAAAAATTATTCTCTATACATTTGCAAAATGGATCACAAAATGTGGACACAAAAATAATCTTCAGACACCTTTCAGATCATTCACGCTCACCACCTGTCTCTCTTTCTAACTTCACTCACATTTCTTAATCAAAAGAAAGGAATACAAGATTTGGGCTCTTCTTAGTAGCAGAAAACATCTGTAATGTTCTGTTCCCACTGTTTCCTCTGCAGTCAACACAAAGAAACAGGTACTTTTAGGGCTCAGCTCCTTTCAGCCTAAAACACAAGTCACAAGGAGGTCAAGGGACTTCTGCTCTTAAGTATTTTGGGTTGGAAACAGCTGATTCTGGCATCACTGTAAAGGTATCTGTCTCTTTCTGAGCATGTTAGAAACAAATTCTTAGAGCAACTGGCAGGAGTGTTTTGGCATTGAAAAATGCAGGCAGACACCCAGTGGGGTTTACAAAGTTGTTTTGCAAATCTCACTTTCATTTCATTCAGGTTCTCTGTCCCTAGAAAGGCAACAGGCCAAGTTCCTATCAGCCAGGCTTTTTACACTTATTTATCCCCCTGCTGAGTTTCAGTGTTAATCAGTCTTACACTCTGTCCTGTGCTGCACTGCACTCACAGGGAGTTTTATAGACCACACAAAAATGACTTTTTTTTTGAAGAACAAGTCCATTTAATTTATTCTATACTCCATTGTTGGGACAAAGCTGCAATTTCAAAGCAATTTGTTGCTTTATTAAATTATTTTTTAGATAAAGTAATTTAGCAGCAAATGACTGCAACGTCTTGGGGGAAACATCAGTTCTAGCTAACACACAGATGTGACAAACCCAAGATTAATCTGAAGTGTTGTGCTGATTAGAGGCTAATCTTGCTCTACAACAGTTAGTTGCTATTTCAAGCAAGGTGTTTTGCTTTCTCTTTCAAGGTTCTGTCCCCTCTTTCGGATTCCATCTTGGCGGAGAAGACAGTGATAGTTTTAGATGACCGGGTAACCATTACAGATCTAGGAGTACAGCTGGTTTCAGGCTTGTCTGTCTCCTTACAAATCAGCAAAGGAAATAAGAGAGCAATCGTTTCTACCACCTCTGCCTATGATATCCTTCACACTCCAAAACAGGTATGGTCCAAAATGGTATATAGACTTAATTAACGTGTTTACTGTGCTTTGTCAGAAGAGAGGGAGAAGTTACTTGCTGTAAATTTTAGAGAGCATATATAATGTATGGCTGTGAAAAGCAGTCACTTCACATAGTAAAGGCTGTTTATCTTCCTGACCAGCTCCTACGGTGCAAACATCTGTACAGAATGACCATTAAACTCTTCAGAACTAGGCTGGAGACCTGCACAGCACAGATAAAGTGATGAGTGTGTCTGGGCACGCAAAATAAAGCGTGTATATGCCACTCAAGAAACTTTTTCTATGGGAAAATACAGTCTAGTTATGCAAACAGAGGTGGAAATCCCATTTCTTAATAGTCTCACAAAGTCAGCTCAGCCAAAAGGACCTTTGGCTGCAGGTACAGAAGTTTTCATGACCTGCATCGCTGAAATCTGATCAGTTTGTGAGGAATTAAATAATTTTCAATGAAAGCACTTTTTTTATAGAATTTTTATAGAATTGAAGTTTTACATCAGTAGCAAAAATGTAACTATATTTTTTTGCAATAGCAATCTGTAGTGGGAAGACAAATTGTTTTGATCAAAACGCCCTTGAAAATGGTGGTTTTGTGAGTTTCTGTTGTTCCCAGAAAAGACTACAGCCACTTTTGCATAGTTCACGTCTTGTATATTTGAAAGCATGACAAAAAGTATAAAGTACTGTATTGAGATGTGTTCTTAACCTCATTTGTTTGATGGGCTAGATGAGATCACTAGTCTCACATAACAACTCTTCAAGTTGTGTTCCACATGGCAGTGGAACTGCAGCATTAGAGAAATTCCCCATTATAGGTCCTTTATAAAATTATTTAACCAGGACATTGGAAATATGATTATTTTCATCACGAGGTCCTGGCATTCAAAAGAGACTTCTCACTTCAGACTGAAAAAAAGAATTGTCAATTGTCTTTGTCAGCACCCTATATTAAATTTAGATGACTGTTTCTTTGGTAGTTCCTGAAGACGAGATAAATGCCTCAGTGGTCCAGAGAGCACAAATCTGAAAAAAAAAAAAAAAAAAAAAAAGAGAGGCACTGTAGACATTTTCATTTTCTTTTTGAAAAAATGAAATAACAAAAAAAAAAATCCAAGTTTATTTTGCCAGTGCCAAACAGACTTAAACAACTGAGTGTCTGATATGTTCTCCCTCTCACTTTTTTTTTTTCCTCATCCTCTTCCCCCACAGGAAGCCATAGTCAGTGCTTGGATTTTGTTCAGTGATGGGTCAGTGACACCGTTAGATATCTATGACTCCAAGGACTTCTCCATCACCATCACTTCTCTGGATGAGATGGTAGTGTCTTCACACCAAAACCTTCAGTCCGACTGGCCTGTCGTGGTGGCAGAAGGGGACGGGCAAGGACCTCTGATTAAAATTGAAATGGTCATCAGCGAGCCCTGCCAGAAGACTAAGAGGAAGAGCATTCTGGCTGTTGGGAAAGGAAGTGTCAAAGTGAAGTTTGGTCAAAAAGATTCTGACCAAAAAGGAGGCACTAATGACATTGAAGATGTGGAGAGGGATTTTAAAAGCCATGCAAGCAATTCCATAGAGAAAGCTGCAGAACAAGACAGGATAGCACAAGAATGGTCCAAAAACCACGAGGACGTGTTCAGTCATGAGGACAATGCAAACAAAAGCACAACTTTCATGTCTCCCATTGATCAGGAGTCCCTGGAGGATGGCCAGCTCCAAAATAACCCAACTGTCTTCACAGGTTTCCCTACACAAGTAGAAATACCAGGAGAAAACAATCCCAGTGATCTCTCATTGACTTCAAGAGGATTAACAGATTTGGAGATTGGCATGTACGCGCTGCTGTGTGTTTTCTGCTTAGCAATCTTGGTCTTTTTGATTAACTGTGTGGCATTTGCTTGGAAGTACAGGCATAAAAGGTTTGCTGTGAGTGAGCAAGGCAACATCCCCCATTCCCATGACTGGGTCTGGCTCGGAAATGAGGTTGAACTGCTGGAAAACCCAGTGGACATTTCACTCCCCTCAGAGGAGTGCACTACCATGATTGACAGAGGAATGCAGTTTGAAGAAAGCAACTTCCTCCTTAATGGGAGTTCTCAGAAGACTCTTCATAATCATATCCTCAGATCTTCTGAGTACCTTTGTGAAAAAGAAGTTAAAAGTGAACCTATAAATCCTTCTGGGCCAAAGCAGAAGCGAGTAAAGTTCACTTCGTATACAACAATACTGCCAGAGGATGGAGGCCCCTACACCAACTCAATTCTATTTGACAGTGATGATAATATTAAATGGGTATGCCAAGATATGAATCTTGGTGATTCCAAGGAACTTAGGGACTATATGGAAAGACTGCAAGACAATATGTAAAACTGCTTTCTTATGTTTGTAATCACCTTTATGCCTTCTGTTTATGGATGGTGGAGCAGTCAGACCAGTCAGCAATAGCAACAAGACAGTCCAACCTTGGAGTTACTGAGATGATAACCTGATATCAGTGAGCAGGTGCAAGAGGCTGGCTGAGTTAATCCTGTTTCACCACAAACCAGGATGTGCCCCTAAAACAGCTACCTGTAGGTGTTGGAGGTGTCCCACACGATGGCTGTTTTTGTATACTGCCTGGTACTAGCAACACGCTAATACAACTACGCTCAGACTCAGAGGAGACTTCATTTGTTTGTCATCTCTCATGATAAATGGTAAATCGGAAAAGAAAGGGATATTTGTTGGCATTGATTTTTTTCTAGTCGTCGTCCTTTGTAAAGCACAGTGGACATTTCTTGCTTACAGCCCGAAACGAGGCTCACAGAAAAAGGGATTGGAATGAATCCAATTTTATTGCCTATGTGCAATGCAGCCAAGAAGTCTTATTATTTTTTACAGATATAAACCCCCCCATGTGGTTAATTTCATCTGCTATTGTTTATGAATTTCATTTGACTTAGGGAACATTAAATATTTTCTTTGAAGGGGGTTGTTTTCTTTTTTTGTTGTACCAAAGTGTAGTACAGTAATATTTATAATGATTTGAGTTTTCTGTTCATCTGCATCAGCCCCTAGAGATACCTCCTTCATCACTGATTATCTTCCTCCTTTCCATATGGGTATATGGGTCGTTAGTATTTGAAACATAGAAAGGTATTAGAACTCTTACTGGGAAAGGGTTGTATCTTCTTACAGGGAACTGTAAATATAATAATAAACCCTGGAAAATAAAAATCAAGGAGTAGCCCTGGGTTCACTTTTGTCATTGCTAACATGAAAAAGTAACCTGCAACCAAACAGCACATACTTCAAAGGGAAATGCTTTGCTGAAACAGCAGCTTGGTTGACAATACACGTTATTATCTGAATGAGAAAGTCAAATGTGGTATTGAAATGCATAGAATAGGAAGGAAACTTCCTAGGAATTAAGCAAAGCTTGGATCCACTGTTACTCTGTACGAGTTAATATCTTGGTGATAGAGATTGGCAGGACACAGAAGTTCATGCTCAACAGCTGATGCCCCAGACCTTGTCTAAAACATCTCTGGCCATAAAACCATTAAAGAACAAAACTTTACACCACGTTTCATTAAAAGGGAAGAAAGAAAGAAAGAAAGAAAGAAAAGGCACACTGGGCATGCTGGGACTGCAGTCACACAAGTGACTTAGGAATTTTAACAAGGGAAACATGCCAGAGATTCAAAGCTGCCATTTCATAGGCATTATATGTATTTTTTTTACTGAAAACTTGACTGACATATGTTGAAAATTACAGTTCAGAAAAAAAAAATAAATCCACAGAATAATTAAAAAAACCCAACAATAAGCACGTGTTCTTGTGGAGGGTCATGTGCAATAAACAAAAGATCCAAATTACAACTGCCTTACCTACTATAGTTCCCACCTTTTAGGTAGATCAAAGCAGGATTTGAATTTATAATTCAGTCATGATATTAGAACAAACCAGACAAATTAACTGTGGGAAACTCTGCACTTGGATCTTAAACTGGGAACATTTTCAAGGTAACATGTTAAGGTACTGAAAAATACAAGAATTTTAACGTTGAGACTAGAGAGTGAGGACAACAGGCTTATATAAGTGATTAGAGACTTATGTTTGCTGGCACTGAGCTGCATGGGGAGGGGATGGCATCTGCTATAATCTAATTTTAAGGAAAAAAATAATAGAGCACAGATACGCTTCTTGTTTCATAAGGAATGCGTCAAATGAAGTCTTTGGTTGTTTAACAAATGTTCTCTTCCCTTTAAATCCTCCAGACCTCATAAGGAAATATGAATTTCTACAAAGACCCTTATGACTAACAACATAAAAATTCCCCTTTTAGAAGTTAACTTCTCTTCCCAACATTTTAATTTTGTATTTGGCCCAAGCATGGGGCAGGACCAAAAAAAAAATCATTTACTATTGTTTGCACAGTATACTGTAAATTGACCACAACTAAATTTAGTCTGCAAATCAGAGGAACCAGCTTGCTGGTGGTTGCTGCAGAGGGCAAACAGCACAGCTATTTCCTGACTGCATACCCCTCAGTTTAGCAGTGATCTCACAGCAGTGGATGGGGCTGCCTGACCTGTTTCTGCTCTGTGGCCCCAATTCTGCTGAGGGCACCAGCAGCTGCTGAACTCAGTCCCTGCTCGGTGCCACAGAAGTTCACTGAGTGCCAAGGGACTCACAGGTGTCCTTGGTTGCTCCTCTGACTCAGCCATAGGTAACAGAAGTCAACAACTTTACTTGTTCAGAAAATTTCCCTTCCAGAGCTATGGCTTGAAAGACAGAGGATCCTTAAAGTCTGGGTTTTCTCTGCTGTCATACTGGGGTGCCCGTGGGCTTGTACCTGAGGTCTAATCCCTGGTGGTCCTCAGTCCCTGCACGTGGCTGTGCATTCAGGCTGCACACTGACAGAAAGACAAAGGCCAGACCCATGTGCAGCGTGGCCACTGCTGGAAGCCACCAAAGGGCACCTCAGGCCTTTGCAGCCTTGCCCAGGCTCACAAACCCTTGTGCTCCCGGTGTCTGACCGAGCACGTTCCTAAAACACACCCCGGGGCAGATCGTGGCTCTGTGTTGTGTTTGCATTGAGTGGTGAAGTCCTAGTGCAGCACAGCATCAGTCAGCAGGGCTGTGAACTTCTTCAGGGAAGTTCTTTGGTGGCTCACTGGCTGAATTCAGGGCGTTTTTGGAGTCACAACTTTGGCAGACGGAGGTATCACACTATCCCAAAGTCAAATGGCAATTACACCCCATCAGAAAGGAGTACGGCCACTACTGGTGATCAGTTCAACAATGGAATTGGATACAGCTGTCCAGAAAAAGACCCATCCCCCAAATCTTAAAAAAAAAAAATCTGCAGGTTCATAAACCTTTCTTTTTCTTTTTATATCACATCGTTACATGAAAGTTCTTACACGGAAAAATGGCAACACTAAAAAAGAAAAGAAGTGGGAAGAGAGAATTCTATTCTCAGTAAAGCTGGGATAACATCAATAAAGTGGAGTTATTTTGGATTTATTCTGGCTTGAGCGCTTATGCTACATCTCAAGAAATCAAAAGCAAAAGAATTTATATGAATATATTTGATGCAAAATAGTTCTGAGTCAATCACTTTTTAAATCAAATATCTCAAATTTTAATTTCAAAATGATGGCATACTTTCAGCAAATTTAGTTTAAAATTCTTTTAGAACCCCCACAATTTTCCTATTCACCTAAATATTTTTCAATTACACTGTTAAATAAAATATTTTTTTCATGGAGTATCTAATATTCCGCTTTGCTGTTAAATGAACAGCATTTACACACTGATAAAAGAGTCTCTGCTTTTGAGAGAACAAAGCAATGGTAGCCAAATGATCAAAAGGCACCAAAATGTATGCGTGTAAGTATGCATGCAGGAAAGTAGAATTGCCTAAAAAAATAGAAACTATACTGTCAGATTCACCAGAATTAGGCTTCGGTAGGTGCCTAGGGAAGCAATACTTGTAATTTAATACCAAACAAACATCATATCTTACTTATGGCATGTATAGAGAAGACTCTGTGAGTGACTTTCCTTGCCTGCTCTGAAGGAAAGACAGTGTGCAGTATGAATATGTACACCAGGAGACATCCAGGAACAGTCCTGGAAGCAATGGATTCATGGAATATGGGGAGTTTGCAAACGTTAAAAATAAAGCTGATGCCAGACCCTCAACTCCTGCAGTCAGAGCTGAGTGACATGTGGCAGCTGAACCCTGGCTAGCAGAGGACAGAGAAGCAAGAGCTGGCAGTTCTCATTTGTGCAGAACTTCTTCTTTCCTTTGACCATCACCCCCAGCCCAGCCCAGCTCCTTGGGGCTTGTCTGCGCCTTCCTTCTCATTGAAGTAAGAACTTAGGAACCACTGCCCTGCTCTCCTCTTGCTGTAGAACACACAGATTAATGTTTTGAGCTGCTGTTTCTTATTGCATACTGGGGAATGTACAAGAAGATCTTACAGCCATACGACACAGTACAAAGAGTCCATTATACAATGGAAAAAAAAACAAAAAAACCCTTGTATTTCAAGGTAAAAAACCCTATGAATGAAATACCAATTTTTCATAGCGGATATGCTCTTTTATGAACTATAAATCATGTGCACTACATTGAAATACACTATAGTGTATTGTGAAATGCATACATTAATTGCTGAATCTATAACACTGAATATGTATATACATCACACCTGAGATATTTATACAATATAATAAGTCTTAGATGTATAACATAACGAATTCTGTACAAAATAAACAGTAAGTTAAGACAATGAAAGAGAACTTTTATATCTGTGTAATTTTTATGCTGTTTAAGTTATTCAAGCTTCAGTTTTCACCTTTAAATGTGCCCTTTAAAAAAAAAAATACTTATTTTCTGTAGGCAGATGTCTGAAATAAAGACTTCAGTCTTCAGAGGAGAAGCAAATGAAAGACTGAAAGAAACGGATTTTGCTGGAGAAATAAACATAATGTTCATGTGGTTGTTTTTTTTTTTTTTTTAAAACTGACTAAACCATTTTGTGTTTATGCTGGTCAGGGTTGGGTTGAGGGTGATGTGCCTCTGCCAGGTGAACAGTAAATCAGCAGAATCACCAGTGCATGGATTGCTCCTGTGACTCCTTGCCCAAAGCACTGGATTGTACAGTCTAAGGGTTTGACCCAAAGTTCCCTACAAAGGGTGCTCCAGCCCTGTTAGTGAGGTGAGTGATCCTTTCCCAGCACCAAATGTGAAGAGCAGATGAAGACACTAAATGACCAGTGTCTTGCAAAGAACAGTAGAACTCATTTGGATTTAAAGGAAAGGGTAACAAACTAATTCTGTCCCTTTACCTGTCTAGTGTGAATCATCACAGGTCAGATGTTTGATTCAGTCTTCTGAATTCTCCTGTGTTCCCATTGCAATCAAAGAGACTCAAAATTATTAAGTGACCCCTGACCTCATCCTAAGAGCTGCAGGAAAGTAGCTTGCTAATGCTAAAAAAAGGAAATTTGAGCCTCGGTTTTTAGCTTTTGCTCAGGGTCTTAGAGATGGTGGCAGAGCCAGAAACACAGACCCCACCCTGAAACCTCACAGGGTTATTGGGACTCCTGCAGACAGTACAGCACTGGACATCAGCGCTCAGGAGGTACCTCCATCATCCTTTTGCTGGTTTCAAATGGCCCACCTTTGGGATGGGGCTGTAGAAACTCTCTGCAAAGGTAGGGGCTGCCTTTGTGCTAATGGGAGCAATTCAACATCACCTGAATGATTTAGTGATCGCTCTTGTAATTTCCAGTTTATTGAAATGTGTTTTTATATGAAGTCAACTGGATGAATGGATTGAAAAATGTGATTTGGGAAGTTCCTCAGAGAACCTAAACTTTAATGTGCTTCAGGCACAAATTCCAGTTGGTCACCACTGAGTATTCTCAAGAGTAAAATAAGAAATGTTTTTCATAAATTGCACTTCTTTTTTTTTTGTGCTGGCAGTTCTGGGTGGTCCCTATTTGACCATTACTGTGACATCCTTCCCCTTAGCAGCATCTTACTAAAGAGATGCCAGTGGTTCTGTTCACACTGCAGTGCTCTACTCAGTATAACTAAAGGTATGAGACTATGGGATTTTACAGAAAAATAATCTTCATTGTTATATTTTACACACACACAGACACTGAACTGTCAAAAAACCTGCCATAGGGGTAAATTTTAACTGCCAGTGTATACTGTGAAACCAAAAATAATTACCTGCATTCATTTCAGAAAGAAATGGACCAATAAATACAACAGGGGTTTTTTTCTTCCAAAAAAAGGGAACCCTCAGGATTTGGCAGAGTAGTATTTGTCACAAATTAAATAGGCCAGATCCTGAAGGCTGTGTCAGTTGAAACTCCCACTGGTCTTGTTAGGCAAAGACCAGAGACAAACAATTACAGTCAGGTCTAGTGCCTGAGAGGTTGGATGTGTTACACCAAACTGGACCCTGCTGCTTCCAATCAGCAGCACCTCCAGCTGGTACCAAACAGTGCGTGATGGTGTTGAGAGCTTGTGTAACTGGCGGCACATTGCATTCTGTGGGATTCATGAGGCTGAAGAGATTCCAGGCAGTGAAGAGGGGAGCAAGTGTGCAAAATTAGCCATTCTGAGCCCTCCCAGCACTGTCCTTACAGCACAACTTTGTATTCCTTTTTTATTTTTTTTTTCCTATTCCAGTGATCCATGTGGCCAATTTCTGCAAAAGTTTGGTTACTGAGGGAATAAAATTGATCTGTCTTATTGAAAGAGGCAGCTGGTATAAGAAATTAAAGCAAAGTGGATGATGTTTTGAGACCTGTTCTGAGACTCTTAAAATGTATCATAGTGTTGTTTGCTTCCAAAAACATATGTATCAACATAAGGATTTATAAACTAATGTAGATAAAGGCTTGTATCATTCTTTCTGATAATCTTGGGTTAGTCTATTTAAAAAACAATGGGATCTGATGATATAAAAAAACAAGTAAGGAGCTTAGGATTTAGTGGAAATGAAGAATGGATATCTTTAATCCTCCAATTTAAATCAGTGGTAGGCAAAGAGAATACACTCTTTATGCCATAGTATTATCTGTAGGATTTTTTTTTTCTTTAATCAGAAGGATTTGAAAACCAAAAATTATCAGCCTTTTGAACGAAGCCTGATGCTACTGAGTGCCCCATGTGATGGTGCCATAGAAGACAAAACATAACACACTCACATACCTGAATGGTGGGCCTCTTTGTTTCTTGGTCTTTGCCTCTTCATTTTTTTGGTCTTTGCCTCTTCATTTCTTGGTCTTTGGTCTTTGCCTAAGGGCCTAAACTGATGTTATTGCAGCATCCTGAAGGTCCCTGTGTGTGTGACACAAAAATGTCAATGGCCAGTGCAGAATAGTCAGACTTCAGAGAAAAAAATCCAGCCTGAGAACTGCTACACTGACTCACAGCAATGACCACTGGACACTGAAACCCTGCTGGAGTCCACAACCACAATGAGATCATTCAGCAGCTGTCAAGAAAACCTACAGCACAGGTGCTGTGTGCAATGACACCTCTGTCAGACCAGCGTGCAAAACCAGTTTTCAGCCAATGCTGGATAAATACAGGCTGTGGTTCAATACAACAAATGCAATTACTTTTCTAAAACTGCTCCATTATGTAAAAGCGTAGAGGTATATTCATTTTTTAGTTTAGGTACACAGTTTTAGGTGTTTACTTACTGGAAAATAATGCATAAAATGAGCTCCTTTGTCTGGTGCCTGCATGGACTCTTGGTTAGACCTGGCCCTCACAGAAGAGGGTTGGTTGCTCAAGTCCTTTTCTGGCTTTGAGCCATCTCTAATGCATTGTTCTAACTTAGCAAATGGTTTAAAAGCACAACAGCACTCATCACATCACCAAAACGTAGACTAGCAAGAGATTTCAGGCTTCTTGGGTTTGTGCCAGAAGCAGCTGAGCACATAACTAAAGCCATTTAATTTGCTGCCCCACAGAAGGTCTTTCCCCTAAACACGGTTTCTAAAAGCCAAAGTTTCTCAGGGCACTCCCTAATTTGAAAAGAGTTCCTCTTACCTTGCTGCACTTCCTTCCACTGGCACCACCAGCAGAAAGTATATTGCAAATGGAAAGTTAGCAGGATCCCTGATCACAGTAGGGATGTAATGAGCCATTTTGGGATTCCCAATTACTTTTCTAATAGGCAGGTGCTGCTGCCACCACACCTGTGGCTCCTTTGCCTCCTGGGCCCTGACTGAAGCTGCACAGATTTGGGCATCCTCAGGGGGACTCACCTGCCCACAGGTGCAGCAGGAACCGGGCAGTGACAGCGCAGGAGGAGAAAAAAAAGCTTTATCATAAACACAGAAGCCTCATGTGCTGGTGAGGCACATCAGTAACAACACACAAACCAGCCAGCCCTTCTCTGAACAAGTTTATTATACACCCAGGAGCCACCAAGGCATTCCTGAGGCACTGCTTCCACTTTAAACTAAGCTTCATTTAAATAAGGACACTTGACTTAGTATTTCTGAAGGCAAACAAGGATCAAAGCAAGGATTTTTGCTGTATGTTCAGCTGTTATTTGACTGTGCTACCTTTTTCTACTGTGTCTTACCTTGTTATTCTCTTGGCAACCGTAACTCATGAAGATATTTTAAAAGGAAATGCAAGTGGTCTGAGTCAGCACTGCATGTACCAGCAATCCGAAAAATGGGAGTATGCTTTTGTCAATACAGTATGGTTTGTAAGTCAGCTAGTTCCCTTTACTCGCCAGAAGCTGACAGAGTGTCCCTACCTAGAGCTCTGCTTTCTGCCTTCATTTTCTGCCCATTTTTAATATGAAAATTTTGAAATTGCTTCATACAAGCCCTTGGAGCCATTCAATCTGGCCACTAATTTGGATTCATTCTTAAAATTCACCACCTGCTGCTTATGTTCACAGGCTATTGTTTTAGCAAGGATACTTCTATAGCAAGGAGTCTTCTGCATCAGAAGTCCCCTCTCCCTAGGACCTGAATTAGCCCCTAGCAAACAACATCCCTCATATTAAAAACTCAAGCCAGAGGACAGGTCATGTTGACAAGAAGGATGATATGACTCACATTTAAATATCTTGTATCTGCAGTTATGTACATATTAGGTGTTTCTGCAGGTAAAGGACTGGCAATTTTCATGGATTTAAAAAAACAAAAAAATTATTTCTACCCTCTTTTTCCTTTCATGAAAGGTAATAACAAGTAGCACTAGGCAAGCAATTTTTTTTCCTTCCAAGGAATCAAAACAGAAGCTAGAAACACTGAGGTAGCCACATCTGTACAGAAGGTGGGAATAGCTGGCATTTTCAGATCAAGAGCATCATACTCTGTAAATGACACATCATTCAATTATCTGCATGCTGTAAAAAAAGAAAACAGAAGAATAGATTCACAGTTTGGGTGGTTTTTTTTGGAATGGATCAAATGTGTCAGAAGTGTGCCAGATCTTTTCATTACTTAGAACTATAAGCTTTTTACAGAATTTATTTCTGCCTGGTTTAATGCCTTATATATACATATATATATATACATATATATACTATACCTGGCTTGTCTTTACGTTGAGGATTGCTTGGCTTTGTAGTCATGAAAAAAGTAACCTCACAAACAAAAGATGTTGCAGTTGCCTTCCTACACTGCAGTATCCCAAGAGGAAGGCATCAGTGATGGACCTTCCTGCTGTTGAAGGAGGAAGAAGAGTGGACAGTTATGGAGAAACACAGAGGATACCAGAGCCTTTCATCATTAACAACTGGCTCCATTCTGGGCTGAGAATGAAACACCAGGAAAAAGCTGCTCAGATATCCAAATATTCTTTGGCATCTACATACATGTTGACATCTCCTACAGTATCCAAATACCTTTAACAAATCCTTTAAATGGGGGAGAAGGCTAAATCTTCCTGAAAGTTAACAGGGTTTGTGTTCCCAGGTGCCACTGGGTAACAGT